ACTAGCGTCCGAAACGTCAGTAAGTTTTTTCATCTTTTCACGGTGTATAATTTACCTTTTCATCATCATTGTTTCATTAGAAACACCGACGCAGCTCACACTAGTTTTTAGCTAGTTATATCTTCTTTTCGTTAAAACGTACTGTTAGGATGAAAATATATTTATCAGATTAAAGTATGTGTGGCTTTGGGTGGGAACCCTGTGGCTTTGTGTTTGTTTAACTTGATATCATGGCGAATATCACCACTAAAGAATATCGAAGTAAAGTCTATTATTTATGAGTGGATGATAAGCAGAGAACTAGTGTTGACTGCGTCGGTGTTTCTGAATAAAACAGTAGGAATGATAGGAACTTATGGATAAATTGAATCACCGTAAGAGCTCTTACTCCGACGAAGGACTAACGTCCGAAACGTCAGTTTAACAAAGCTTCTTACGGTGATTCAATTTGTCCATAAGTTCCCACTGTTCTATTCTAAACCCCAGAGTTTTTCTCTGGGTTTCTGTACGCACGCTCTAAACCCCTCAATGACGGTTTTAACTCGTAAGATTACGGTAAGGTACTCCTGTGAAAATAGTGTATTTACAAGTCGTGCTCGATAGAAGTAATACCATTCATGTGAAAACTAACAGCAAACCTAATACGCATGCTCAATAGTGTTATCTGGGGACGAGATGGCTTACGTGCTCTTTGAATTCTGACTTATTTACAGCTAGTCTTGTTTCGCGGTTAAGATTTCCGAAAAATAATGATTAATTAAGTACTGAACGAATGCTTGCACGAGTTCAACAACCTAGACAACTTAGACCCTTATGTTTTTCAAGCATTCTCAAGAAAATATTTTTGATACATTTTCGTATGAAAACGTATACGTGTGGACCATCCCTTAAAGGCTCAGGCTTCTAGAGGCTCTCTCGCTCGAGTGCTTCTCGGACGTAGGGGGTGAGAGAGTTTCTAAAACCCAGGGTATTAAAAGCCTGAATATACACCTATTTCAATAAACGTTGTCATCGCCAAAGGCAATAGGCGATAGGTTATTCATATGGAAATGGTTTCGTTGAATACAAAGAATATTAAATCCGTCTGGTCTCAACACTAAAGTCCATGTTCTTGACGAGAATAAGACTCCGTAATCCAGAGTCTCGGAATCCGGAATCCAGCGCTTGGAATCCGGAATCCACCATAAGACCGGATTCCCTTACATGGGACGATTCCCTTACATGGGGCGAATAGAAGCAGAAACACAAGTGATTCCAGCTATTCTTGGGTCTTGAATGTCCTATCTCCTATCGCTTTTCGCCTATCGCTTACTGCCTATCGCCTTTGGCGATGACAACGTTTATCGAAATAGGTGTATATTGAAAGCAGTCTGAGTGCACTTACCACTGTAGATGATCTTCGGCGGGACTGATCCAGTGTTTCTTGGGAACGCGAGATGTGGAGGTGATCAGGGTTCAAGGCCCTGTGCGAAAACAAGAATTAACAACTAAAATTAAACAAATAAACCACGTCTTCAATCAATTTCCAGAGCAGCTTAATTTTGAGGACAAAATTAGCCATTCCGAAGATGAGAAAAAAACTGGATCGAGTTGGAACTGCAGTGCATTTTGGGACTGTTTTAGGAGATGAAATAGAAGCCATTCTGCCAATTTGTCCCTTTCTTTCTTTCTTTCTATTTTTCTTTCTTTCTTTCATTCATTCTTCCTCCCTCCCTCCCTCCCTTCCTTCCTTCCTTCCTTCCTTCCTTCCTTCCTTCCTTCTTGTCCCTTTCTTTCTTTTTTTCTTTCTTTTTCTTTAACCGCAGACTATGAGAAAACTCCTCCAAGGTCTACAAAAGACGGAAAAACCCATCTGGGACCGGGGTAAAAAGAGGCAAATGTCTAACTACATCTGGACACTTCCATAGGCGTTTTTGATTCCGAGACATTTATCCCTTATACTGATTATTGTACGAGCCTCCTGAATATCGTACAAGAGTACGCAACGCAACGTAAATTATGCAACTGACTTTGTTTGCTTGGTATAATGAAAAAAACTGAGCATAGCCTTTTGGTATTCATGTTCGTAGAAAGCGACGAAAAGCTTCAAGACGACGAGAACTTAATCGAGAGTTTTAGATTGACTTTTTTTTCTCCCGCAAACGGCAAACGTGACCACGTTTTCATAGTTTTCCTGTATTTTACTTTACCTTTTACAAACCTTCTCACCAAGCGCAAATACTCTTTTGTTTTTCTACTACTTGGACTTTTTTGCGATTCTTTTTCAGTAATTTAAAAGAATTTTTTACTGGTCAACTAACGTTTCACGTTTGCCKTGAACGTAAATCTAAAACTCTCTCTCTATTCAAAGTTTCGTAATGCCAAATATACCCTATTTTCAAAATAGTAAATGAAAAGGGTTTTTTACGAATCGATTGGACATAAGCTAGCAATATGCAAAAACATTCCTCTCAAGTGGAACTAACAATCAAATAAAATAAACATTGAATACATGGCGTACTTGGTTTGTTTGCTGAACTGTGTACTTAGATCTCAAAGCACGATGCCGAAAAGGAATGGTATTAAAAACACATACTTCGAATACACTTACCACTCGCCAATTTCACAATCATTAGTTAAATTATTTGGATTCTACTTATGTTGACCTTCTATCGATAATCTTTTAAGGATATATTTATTTCATTCTGTCGAAAAATGCAGTTGCAACATGCGACAGCATTCTTGACTTGAATAGCAAGCACAAGTGCTGTGTACTCTGTAGAACTGTACAAAAGCCGTTTTCTATACATCATATATAAACACTCTAGATTTCTTCATAGTCGTAAGGAGACTCTTGTACTACTAGAAGTTGTCTTTCAGATGCTTGTTGAGCCGTCCAACTGCGGTTCCGTAGAAAGTATTGAGGCAACTGTGTCGTATTGGTTGTCCAACTAAGTCATGAATTGGTCGAGAAAGTTCGAAAATAAAACAAAAACAAGATCAGCTACGATTTGTACAAAACCTATAGGTGTGTAGATTTGCAATGATTCTCATTGTATATGATATTTATATAAACTTTCAATCTAAATAAAAGCAAAACAAAAATGTAGTACGCGCGCGAAATCGGCGTGAAACACTAGAGTTCTGCTCTGATGACTCGTACATAGTTATGTGTTGAGAAGTGTTCAATTATATGGCTTATATGTAACTTATTTTATTAGTATTACAAAAACAGTTTCACTCGCCATTAACAGCTTAACTTACCGTTCTGAGTCGATGTAAACACTGCGTTTAGGACTACGTGACATAGTAAAGACACTAGAGTCGATCGTTTGGCAAACTCCTTCACTTTGATTGCTTTGCAGTTGTGCTGAATAAGAGTTATCTGTACGTCAAGAACTTTATATATTGTTCCTTGTAGCTAAGTCACTCTTTCATATCTCATAACGATACAGAATTGTGAAGTAAGGCAAAACAAAAGCGAACAATAAAACCTCAAGGATATTTAGGATTAAAAAGTATATCACAGCGACAAACCATTGCTTTGTTGTCAAAGTTTCTTCAGCACAATTGACTCCCAAGGGACCAATCACAAACGACTATTAATCACACATATACACCTATTCTCCTAATTACCATTTTTAATAACATTCCTTAAGTGAGCTATTAGTGATTTATTAAGGCTCGTTTACAGAACAAAGCGAAAAAGTTTTAGTTTGTCAGTCAGAATAATGACTTATTATTGGAATCGACGAAAACCAATAGAAAAAATATTTGGTTTTATGGGTTCCCTGTGACTTTCGTTATGGAATTTCAAATCACTCTGACATCGTGCATATTTCACACGCTAGATAACTATAGATTGACTTGAGATATTTTGTCCAGTTACAGTTTAACCTTCTGTTAACCGATCCTAAAGCTAAACTGAGAATTTCTATATGTAAGCATCACGCATCTTTGATTTGAAATGTTTCCCGTATTTTCATTTGGATATAATTACTTGGATGAAAGGCAATTAAAGCAAGGGCGGATCTAAAGTCGGTTAAGGGTGTGGCTAGCAACGCCGTATCACAGCATTAATTAATACACAAATATAGCTAAATTGGAAATTAAAATAAATAAATAAATAAATAATAATAATAATAATTACAATAATAATAATATTGATAATGAGAATGAG